TGCTGGCCTGATAGAGCCTTGTGGAGCCACTGAGACTACGGCCCCTAGCTGCCCTTCAGGTCTGGAACTGAGCCCAGTCCTGTGGCTTCCAGCCAAGCAGAGGACAGGAATTTGAGTTGGACATTTACCTGAGGTAGATGCACTCCTTGGAGAGAAAAATCATAGGAGAAAGGCCTGTTTATGCACAGGGAGACAGCTCAGGGGGCAGGAGTGCATGGAGGAATGGACACAGGGAAGAGGTGACTGTCAGGAGGAAGTGGGAAGGGATCTGTTGCATTGTGGTAAATTGTAGTCAATGTCAGATGTCATGAGACAAAGTGTATGTGAACTGCTGTGTGGAAAGTGAATTTGCTCTGTAAATCTTCACCAAATCACAATAAAAAGGAAAAAAAAAAATTGTTTCAGAGCCCTTTCTCAATGCTTACTTGAGACATTCTCCTCATTTACTGGGAGCAGACCACATCCTTCAGGCAGCTACTCAGCTGCTCCAGTAGATTCCACCATGGAGTTGATGACCAATCTCATCATGGGGAACAACTACATCCAGCTGCCCAGCCACTCAAAACCAGGCCCAGCCAAGTTGACACACACACTTAACTACCACAACAGTCAACATCACAAAACAAAATGTTTGTGAATTGTTGAATGGAAACCAATTTGCTCTGTAAACTTTCACCTGAGTCACAATAAAAAGTTAAAAAATAAAAAAATTTTAAAAAGCTGTCAATACAATCCCTTAGGGAATGTGTTGAAACTTAGGTTTGGGGTTCCTGGAAAAAATAGGAGGACGGTTGGACCAGGTACTCTGAACAGTAACTGAGACCCACAAATGAAGCACTGCTCATATGGGAAGACAAATGTATAAAGCCTGGAGAGTACATCTTTCTCTTTGGAGGAGTATTCCTTTAGGAACAGTGCATTTTTTTATACACATAAATACATTTCAAAGTGACGTTTAGTGCAATAGTAAAAGGATTTTGCAAGTACCAACTGTCTTAGTTCTCTAGTTCTACTGTAACAGAAATACCACAAGTGTATGGCTTTAGCAAACAAATTTATTTTCTTACAGTTCAGGAGGATATAAGTCCAAGTGTAGAGTGGCAGTTCTAGGGAAGACTTTCTGTCTCTGGATTCTGGGTGGATGCCCCTCCAACCTTGGACTTCGGCTCTGTCTTCCAGGCCCACTGGAGCAAGCTGGAGCCTTCTCCTGACTCAAGCTACAGGGTTGATGAATCTAAGATTGGCAGGCAACATGGTAGTCCACTGGTTAAAGTCCAGGAACTGGAGATGATGATGGGCCAAATGCAGGATCCTAAACGTGCAAAGAGCTAGAGACCTTTCCCAAAGCTTCTCCAAATACACTGGAAGCAGGCAACACCCCAGAGACAATTCTTCAACAAATTGGCTGCTCATAGCAGATTCCACCATGGAGGTGATTATACCACGTCCAATCTCATTATGAGTAATAACTACATCCAGCTGCCAAGCCACTCAAAATCACAGCCCAGCCAAGTTGACACACTGCCTTAACTACCATACCAGCTCCATAGTTGGATCACAGAAGGGAACTGTGAGGCCAAACCATGAAAATTCAAGTACAGTAGAAGTTTAATATCTATTTACATTTTTAATAACTTTCTTCATTATAAAGGTAGTACACATAGAAGACAGTCTGAAAGAGGAGATACATCAAACTTTTACTTCTTAGTTTGAATCTTGTATGACAAATGGATGGCTTTTAATTGAAAAAAAATAAAACAAGTCATATTCATGCATGAAAAATTCAGAGGGGAGTAAAGAAAAAAAATTTATCCATAATCCCACTCCCCAAAAATAAGCATATTTTGGGATGTTTCCACAGAGTGAGTTATAGATGGATGAATGAGGTGGGTAAGTTGAGAGTGGCTCAGTAGATAGGCAGATATTCTAAAACAAAATCATATTCTATAATTTTTTATCTTGCTTTACATAATATTATATCATGAGCATTTTTTCCATATCATGAAATGTTCTTTGAAACTATGAGTTTTAATAGCTGCCTAATATTTACTGTACTAAATATGCCCTTATTTTACATACTCTCCTATTGTCAGATATTGAGTACTTTAATTTTTCTTACATATGCTTCAAGTGAACATCTGTGTGTCTAAATCTTTGACTGCATTTCTGATTATTTCCTTAGGATGAATTTCTAGAACTAGGTTTATCCAGTTCTCTGCATCTGGGCTTGGTTATTTAACTTGCCTTAAGACATTAAAAATATTTTAAAAGGAAGTAGTGTAGTTTTGTTCTAATGCTTTTAAATTTTTGTTGTTCAAAGCATTTTCTTTGCTCAAGAAATAATAATAGATTAAATTTAAGGTACCGTGCTGAGTGTTTTATATAATCCTCCTGAGCTTTATAGAGGCCAAGTAACTTGCTAATAAGTGATGGAGCTGAGATTTGAGCCTATAGCACCTCCTCAGTATATGCTAAACTGGCTTGACACTTAAGATACAGATGAAATAAGGCATGTTCCCAGGCCCCAGACTCACTGGCTAGCATCATGCACTGGTCTCTCGGCCTCCTGTGCTAGACTCTGTACTGTGGTTGCTCCAGGGCTTTATCAGTGGGTGGTGGGGTCTCCCACATATATACCACCTGTTGCATAAAGAGGTCTCTAATTAGAATTGAGGCTATCATTTAAGCTTTAAGGAAAGACAAAACAAGGTATTAGAAAATATGCATTTAACCCACATTGTATTTCTAAGCCCTGTAATTTATAATTAAAATAGATTATTTCCTAGAGCAAAAGTTCTTATTTCTAGCACCTTGAGGTCACTTACGTGGATCAGCCCAACATTTCTGCCACAAAATCCTAGCACTGAATTTAGACTCTCATATCAGGTCCCTGGGTCAATTGGCAGTGAGGGTGATATGATTATCTGCCGTTTCAGGAAGTCTGAACTTGCGGCAGCTGTGTATGGCTGAGTGTGCTCACACCCTGGGGGGCTCGCCTCATCCTCATCACACAGCGATGAAAAACCAGATCACTGTTTTCTACCTGTCCCAGGATTAAATTTAAACCGTTTTTAATAAAAGATAGAATTCCTCCTGTAGTCTAGATGAAGAGGTGAATTTATAAGCAGACAGTATCAGTAAAATTATAAATTTAGGAGAACTCCAAGGTTTTTTGAGTATTTAGAAAAAGGTTCACTTTTCTCTATTAATGGGGGAAAAAAGGCTACTTCTAAGACTTATTTATACTGCCAGAAATATCTGGTAAAATTTTAGCAGAGTCTGTAAGTGTAAAGATGCTCAGGAGAGAATTACTTAGTCTTTCTTCTCTTGCTTTATTCATTTCCAAATCACCATTAATTAGTCTTAGAAAATAATATTAGTAGACAGCTAAGGAGCTTAGAGGTATGAATTTAAGTTCTCTAACAGCCATCCTTGTTGGGTTTTTTTTTTTTTTTAGTCTGGGAATCCCCTAAAGGAAGCATTTTGCCACTCTTTCTTCTCAGTGACCACTGGTCATTTTAAAGGAGTCATGGTGCACAGTGGTTAAATTTAGCACTCAGCCACTAGCCAGAAGGTCAGAGGTTCAAACCCCCCAGCTACTCCATGGGAGAAAGATTTGGCAGTCTACTTCTGTAAAGATTTACAGCCTTGGAAACCTTATGGTGCAGTTCTACTCTGTTGTAGAGGGTCACTGTGAGTCAGAGGTAACTCGGCAGTGGGTTTATTTTAAAATCTGGTGAGATTAGCCACTTTATCCAAGTAATGGCTACAGTTCCAGAACAGTTTTTATGGACTAGCCATCCCTCACCCCCAAGCAAACAAAGATCTGAGTCACCCAAATCTCCCTCTCTCCAAATAAAGGGCCACAAAGCCTTTTCAGATTGGTTGCCATAAGAGGAAAGTTTCCTTGCATCTGGCACAGGGATGTCCACGTCACCTCTCACATACATGAGCTTCTCCTGGTTCCAAAAGAAACAATAGCTCTCCCCAGTGTATCCCAGGTGAAAGCACTGCTTAGAACCGAGCTTCTTCTGGCGGGCTGCTCCTGGGCAGCTATTCATAGGAGAAAACGGATTGATTTCCACAGGGGAATAGTTAAGGTAATGAGGTAAATAATTGCCTCCTCATTGCGGCTTTTACCAGCCAGAAGAACTGGCAGCCACAACTCCCCTTTGTGTGCTGTGTCTCCTGCATTAGGCGGTTTGCTTGGCAACTACATCGGAAGGCAAAGTTCTCACCCAGGAGCTACGCTGAGCTCATCCCTCTGGGATAGGAACTATAGATAGTGTGTGTGTTGCTGGAGGGGAGAGAATTCAGCACCATGACGCTTATTAACCTCGGCTGGAATTTTGGGCCTGTGAGTCATTTGTTGTTCTCTAATGGAAAGCTTTGGCTGGTTGCCATTTAACTATTTTTTTCAGTTCTTTTTGTGCTATCAGTGTCTTAGGAATTCTTACTTTCCATTCCTTGGGCTCATACAACCAATTAAAAGCAAAATCAGATGAGCAGGTACTTAAATTATGAACATACAAATATGTCTAGATTCTTCCAGTATGTGTTGTGGTTGAAAATTAGAAGAATGTTGGTGACTTCTCCTTTTTCTTAGCCATGAGCCAGGCATTTTAGAAAAATAAAGAAAAAAAAAAATCTCATCGTTTCCTTTTGTTTCCTTTATTTAAAAAAAAACAAAACTGGTAGGCTTCAAGCTAATATGCTCTTGTGCATCTGGAAACCACTAAAAGAATTGTTTATTGAGATAATGATGACTCAGAGAAACCTGGGAGATAGTGCCAGTTTGGGTCATAATGGGCTTCTGTCTACTGTAAGTGTTGCACTTAACTTCTACTCTACACATTGTTGTTAGCAACAAATATGTACTTTTTAATATTTCATGGAATTTCTAGCTTTCCACAGGTCTTGATGCTTTTTCCCCTGTGGACTTTCCCAGTGCATCAGCAGGGCAGCAGCTGACCATTTGTTCTCTCCTCTCTGACATGTAGGTAAATGGCTGTCTGCTTGACCCTGTGCCTCCCATGCTGGTGAGGAAAGGATGCCAGTCGTTGCCCAGCAACATGATGGAGACCTCCATCGATGAAGGACTGGAGACAGAAGGAGAAGCAGAGGAAGACCCCAGCCACGCCTTTGAAGCATTTCAGTCCACGCGCAGTGGGCAGAGACGGCACACTCTGTCAGAAGTAACCAATCAGCTGGTGGTGATGCCTGGCTCAGGTATGACATAAGTATCAGCTTAAGTCTTCACAGCATCCTTTCATATTCCAGCCACCAAGAAATACTAATAATGCCAATCAGTTCCCATATTGTAGTCTGTATCTTAACTCCTTTCTGGGTCAGGTACAGCTGGCTGTAGGAGAAGTCATGCTTAACAGCTAACAAAGATTAAAATGAGATATCTGAGTTGGCTGCCCTGACTCCCAGGAGTCAGCTCAGGGCTGTGTGATTCATCCAGGACGTTGGCTTTTCTGGAGAAGCAGCATCTTATGGGTGCAGGTTGGGAAGGGTTTTCCATAAATTCGATGATTGTATTTCAGCTCTTCGTCCCTGAAAGTCCTGGTTTAGATATGCAAGAGTTTCTGAGGGGGCAAAAGAAAAGGTGTTTCGGTTGGATATTAAGGACCTTGTAGCTGTCAAGTCTTAAGCTATTTATGCTTTGTATTCCATGTGCAGAAAAGTGCTGCTGCTGTTGGTTAGATGTGTTTTGTTTTCTCTTAAAGGGAAAATTTTCTCCATGAGTGACAACCCCTCACTTGACAGTGTGGACTCCGAGTATGATATGGGGTCTGTTCAGAGGGACCTAAACTTTCTGGAGGACAACCCTTCCCTTAAGGACATCATGTTAGCCAATCAGCACTCACCCCGCATGACCTCTCCTTTCGTCAGCCTGAGACCTGCCAACCCAGCCATGCAGGCACTGAGCTCCCAGAAACGAGAGGCCCACAACAGGTCTCCTGTGAGCTTCCGAGAGGGCCGCAGGGCATCGGATACCTCCCTCACCCAAGGTGACTGTTTTAACACTCTTATATCAGAAGAGTTAAGGGAAGAGTTGTTAGTTTCATAGTTGAGATCACTGAAAGGCCTTATGTTTTATTTAAACTGTTTGCCCTTTGCTTTCTTTCAGGAATCGTGGCATTTAGACAACATCTTCAGAATCTGGCTAGAACCAAAGGAATCCTAGAGCTGAACAAAGTGCAGTTGCTATATGAACAAATAGGATCTGAGGCTGACCCTCACCTGGCATCAGCTGCTTCTCAGCTCCAAGACCTTGCTAGCAGCTGCCCTCAGGTGGGTGCCCTGGGCCCTTCACACAGTGGTTTGTCCTGAAATGTGTCGTTTTCATTTAGAAGATTTACTCCAGTTCTGTAGCAAACAGGTTCTTCTGGAAAGCCCACAGCCTGAAAGCCTTCCTTGTTGCTACCACTTGGCAGTGACAGGTTAGACCCTCCACAGCGCCTGAGTGATCAAGAACAGACGGAGGCCTTGACAGCTTCAGGTCGTCGTAGTTCACAATACAGAAGATTGCATATGGAGTGCCTGTTCTAGTCTGCCTTGAACTCCCACACACAATAAAAATAAAAATAATAAAGCTCACCCAAACAAGAAGCTTCTCACCATTGCTATGGAGGTGATATCACTTCATTAAGCACTATAAGTGGCTTATTCATACTAAAAGTACAATAAATATTGCTGTTTATCCCATAAGCTTTATTCTGAGTCTATTTTCAGTGCATCAAGGATATTGTAGTATTAGAGACTCACATGAAAGAAAAAGCCTTCTGGTGACACCTCTGCTCTAGTTGTTGTTAAACCAAAAAAAAAAAAAAAACTCACCAAACTCACTGCTGTCAAGTCAGTTGGATTCATAGCAGCCCCTTCTTGGGTTTCCAAGGCAGTATCTCTATGGAAGTTCATTGCCCAAGGCTGGTGGTTCAAACCCATTCAGCCACTCCTCGGAAGGAAGGTTGGACAATCTACTTTTGTAGTGATACCACCTCAGAAACCCAAGGAGGGGTTGCTGTGAGTCACAAAACGACTTGACGACAGCGAGTTGAGTTTTTTATTTTTGTTTTGTTTTTTTTTTACACATAATAATACAAGTATAAGTTTTTTTCCAATAACTGTCAGCTGACTAGTTATGTGGGAGCTCTAGTGGCGTAGTGCCTAAGGCATTTGACTGCTAACCAAAGGCTGGCGGTTCAAACCCACCAGTCACTCCTCGGAAGGAAGGTTGGGCAATCTACTTCCACCACCTCAGAAACCCAAAGAGGGGTCGCTGTGAGTCAGATCCAACCCAATGCAGTGAGTTTGGTTTTTTTGGGGCTTGATTAGATATGTAAAAAACTGAGTATTATGTTTATGGAGTTGGGACTCTTCAACATTTACAAAGATGCTCAACCTTAGAATTGAGACGTGCCCCCACATGGAAAACTGAAAGACTTCTTTCACCTCTTTGTTCCTCAGGAGGAAGTTTCTCAGCAGCAGGAAAGTGTCTCAGGTCTACCTAACAGTGTGCATCCTCAGCTTGCCCGGCGGCAGAGCCTGGAAACCCAGCACCTACAGCACAGACTCCAGGTGGGAGCCGCTCCTGCTGGGCTCAGTTCACTATTCTCATCGAGAATCTGCCTTTCTGCAAAAAAATACAGAGACCTGTTTTGCTTGGTGTTTATTTAGAGTAGCTGCTTTATTCCTTATAGGCAAGTAGCTTTGGCTTTGCGCTTGTAGTTTCTAGAAACATGTTCAGACTTAGCTGTGTGCTATGTGTTGGCAGCGAGAAAGGATTTGTCCTCAGGTCCCAGGAAAGGTTATGTCACTTAAGTGGTAGGGAAGGGTGACCTGGATTCTGATTTTATTCCTCTTAATAATCAACTCGATGGCAATGAGTAATAAATAATAAATAAAATGAAAATCTCAAGTCTGTGGTATTTTAACATCAGTTCTCTGTATTGGTATATGAAAGTCTTAAAATACAATATACAACATAGGTCCAATAAGGAATGAATCACTCATTCATTCATTCATTCATTCAGCAGCCACTGCAACTTTTGCTTTCAAGATGTAACTCCACTTTTCTCTTTGTTTTTAAACTCCAAAATTCCTCCCAGTCTAGAGGATTTTTAAAAGTGGAAAACTGAAGCAGGTTAGAATTGGGACAGGCCCAGGCTTCCTGACCCATTGCTGTTAGACCCCAAGGCTCTACCGGGGTCTCAGTGAGCAAGGGGCAGTCCCTTCACTCTGGAGGACACACTCGGATTCATTGCCGAGGCAGAAGCAGACTGATGACTCCATCCTGTTGTTGTTAGTTCCCATTCAGTACATTGTGACTCAGGGCAACCCCGTGTCTGAAGAGTAGAACTGCTCCATAAGGTTCTCGGGGCTGCACCCTTTCAGGAGCCGATCACCAGGCCTGTCTTCTGAGGCACCTCTTCATGTGTTTGAACTGCCAGCCTTAACCATTTATACAGCCCAAGCACTCTGACTCTACCCTAGGTGCCAGAATATTCTCGTGATTATGTTATTTCTCTGCTGTTCCAGAAACCCAGCCTTCTGTCAAAGAACCAGAACACCTGTCAACTTTATTGTAAAGAGCCACCCCGGAGCCTTGAACAGCAGCTGCAGGAACACAGGTGAGAGAGGGTCTTTGGCCAAAGAAGTCACTTTGTTCTGAGGAAGGTGCAAGAATGCTGGGTATGTTGTCCTTTCACTCATGTTTCTCTCTAATAGGAAAATAGGTTTTTGATGTGTGAGCCACAGTCTTTTCAATTATTAGACATGTTGGTTATAGTGGATATTGCGTTTCCATGGAATATGGGCCTGTCGGGACAGCAGCCCAAAAATGTGCTTTGCTTTCCATTTCTTTTAGCTTTTCCCATTTGGGATATGAATAGACTTAAGCTTTCAGAATCAGTGAACTAATGCAATTTGAGTGGGTTACGCTGAAGAGGAGGCCCCACCCTCACTTGCAGCGATCTTGCCCAAGCCTCACTCACAGAGGCAACTTGGCTGAGGTAGAATCATCTCAGGCCATCAACCTACAAACATGCAGAGGCCAAGGTGTCGTTTCCCTTCTGAACACTCCAGCTGGGAAATCTGCCTCTCACTTGATACAGAGAACATCTTAGAAGTTTTAGAGGAAGTCCAAGAGCAAATGAATACAGCTTTACATTTGTAAAGGCAGAATTAAGGGGCAAAAACAAGAAAAAAAATGAGATTAGGTTTAAGAAACCAGACACAATTGGTTCCTACTCCAACTTGTTTTCTGCCATGGGAAAGAGAAAAGTGGGGTGACCAAAGCTAATAATGGCTGACATTTAAGAAGATTTAAAATTCTTTCATTTGATATTGCCAATTTAGGCTCCAACAGAAACGACTGTTCCTGCAGAAGCAATCTCAGCTGCAGGCATATTTTAACCAGATGCAGATAGCAGAGAGCTCCTATCCACAACCCAGTCAGCAACTGCCCCATCCTCACCAGGACAGTCCCCCAGCACCACAGCAGCCACCGCCATTCAGCCTGGCCCAGCCCCTGAGCCCTGTCCTGGAACCTTCCTCTGAGCAGATGCAATACAGCCCTTTCCTCAGGCAGTACCAGGAGATGCAGCTGCAGCCCCTGCCCTCTGCACCAGGCTCCCGTGCGCCTCCACCACTGCCCGCACAGCTGCAGCAGCCTCCGCCACCGCCGCCTCCTCCACCCCCCCAACGACCCGGAGCTGCTCCACCACCCTTACCATTCTCGTATCAGACTGGCGAGCTGCCGAGTGCTGCTTCCCCTGAGCCAGACTACCCCATTCCCTGTCAGTATTCCATGGACGGAGCCGAGCCAAGTGGCATAGCAGTGCCGGACTCTCCCAGGAGCCCAGGACTGCAGGAGGCGCCCTCCAGCTATGACCCTTTAGCCCTCTCTGAGTTACCTGGACTCTTTGATTGTGAAATGCTAGAGGCTGTGGATCCGCAGCCCAGTGGGTATGTTCTGGTGAATTAATCTCGGCACAGGAGGTGAGGTGAGTGAAATGAAGGAAGAGTATGTATTTCTATTTTTATTCCAGCCTTTTAAACGTAAAGCTTATTTTCTTGCCCTATCCCTAATGGGGAAAAATCAAGTTGCCCAACTAGAATCAAAGGGCCAGAATGGAATGGAAAGTGGTTCCTTCTGGCTCTGTCCCCCCAGTTTTCTGTGGCAAGTGCTGCAACATAGTTGTAGGCTGAAGACCGTGCCCTTCGGTCAAGTGGAGCAAGCTTTCAAGGGAGTTAACAACAGCACATGTTTTATAAGAAGATACTCAGACCTAGTTTTATGCAGAATTACACCAGTTCATTATTGAGGTGAAAGCAGATAAAATGTGTGCCATTGCATATATATAAATTAAAAAAAAAAAAGCAATATATTTTTCACTGAAGCAGAGCAACAACATGTAAAAAGCTTAGAAGCAAATCAAGATTTCACAATGGAGTTTGATGCACAAGAAAGGAAAGTTGTACTTTGTCATTGAATTACAAATTCTAAGCTGCTGATGCAAGTTGTTCCCAAGGCTGTTGCAAAGCAGGGGAGCATGAGCTTTGTTTCAGGGGCAACTAAATGACACTTGGTACTGACCCCTGAGACTGGCAGTTGCCTCCATGTGGGAGCAGGTGACACACCTCTTCAGAAGGTGTCCCTTGGTTACAGAGTGTCAGAGTGCATGTACTCAGAGCCCCAAAGACGTCATCTGTGGAACTGGCAGGAGACTCACCGCAGAGGGTGCAAGAAACTACAGAAACCATCAAAAGCACCAGCTCTGGGGCTGGGGAAGCGGGTTCTTCCTGACCAGTCTCTTGTGGAGACTTGTGGTTTTGGAGCAGTTGGTCTCTGGAGGACCTGTTGTCTCTTTTGAAATGTAATAGCTACTTTTGACTTCACACTATACGTTGCTAGTAGTATATTGAGCTTTGTATATTTGGACAGTTTCATATAGGGCTTAGAAGTTTTAAGGACAAGAAAAATGAACTCTTATCTCCCATGTGAAGTGGTAGTGCTGTGCCTTTTCCCCCAGATCATGCTTTAATTATTTCTTTTCTGTAGAAACCAACAGTTTTCCATTTCTGTCAATGCTAAATCCAAAGTCACTTCAGAGTTTGTTTTCCACCGTGTGGGAAGTAGCATTCTTCATTTCCTTAAAGTTTGACTCGTAATGAAATGTTCAAGTATTAACAGCAATATTCAAAGAACCACAAATGTGTTAACCAGTTAAGCAGATCATCTGCCAAACATGTTTTATTACTAGTAAAACTTAACCTTAACCCATACAGTAGATGCTATAGCTAGTTACCTGTATACCTAGAAGTAATGAGTAATCTGCCATTTGGAGAGTAACATCCAAGTGTTTCAAATTCAGTATTATTTACAAAGATGACATTTCTGTCCTTCAGAATGGCTCATCCTATTGGCAGATGAATGCATTAAGCACAAAGCATCTTCCTTAAAGCACAAAGAAGAGAGATACTACACTGATGCTGCATCTAGAAAACACCTTTAAGTTGCCTTTCCTCTTTGTAATAATTGTCCAGGCAGGTGAGGAGAAGCATGGAAATTCTAAGGAGTTTCATTCTAGCTGCCCCCACCCCCCCAACAACGCCGGTCATGTGAGCAGCCCTTGTGGCCACATGAGGTGCCTGGCCCCTCCGCAGAGGCGTTCCAGCTGAGGCTGGACTCTGGGTGTTAGAAAGGAAGGTTAGTGTGCACAACTGTCATTTTTGTGATTGCATTGAAAATCCAGGAAGAATGAATTGTGTTCCTTCTATGAATTGTTTATTCCTCCTTGTGCTTAAAATAAATGATTTTGTGAAGTAGATAAACATCATTTCACTTGAGAGTAACGGGATGGTGACAGAACTCTGAGTTAACAGTTACTTCACAGTCTTAAACCTGCTAAATTTGGACTCATCCTCTTATTTTTGCTATGTTGTTATGTGCCGTCGAGTCAGCCCTGACTCATAGCGACCCCTCCTTGGGTTTCCGAGGCAGTATCACTACGGAAGTAGGATTGCCCAACCTTCCTTCCGAGGAGTGGCTGGTGGGTTTGAACCGCCAGCCTTCTGGTTAGCAGTCAAGTGCCTTAGCCACTATGCTACCAGAGCTAGGGCTTGATTGTTTAGATTGAAGGAGGATATGTTCCCAAATATATACTACAGAAGCACTATAATATTTATGAAATTTACACACCTTCCACATTGAAAATGGGGCCACTCATTTCGAGTTGCAGGAATGGCGAGGTTACAGATTTTCGTAAATGCCTGTCCTCCAGCAAGGCCAAGAGGCTATAGTAAGACAGTGAGGCTGAGAAATGAGAGATGAGTGGAGAGGCTGTTGGAAGGTTAGACCCAGAAATCAAAGTCGGGAGGCCTCCAGCAGTGGCCCAAGAGTCTGATGGAATGACATGGGTACTCCCCTGACACGTAACAGAGACCCCTCCTGCTGAAACACGTATCTTTGAAGCTCTCATTTGCTTCTGTCATTATTTCGAGCAGAAATCACCTAATTTCTTAACCATCTGTATTTTCTGAGATGTAAGCTGGTGAGAGGAGACTGGTTCTGTTGGTCATTTAGTTGTTTTCCCAGCTCTTGTCTGCTCATCTCTGTTGCTGTTCCCTAACTAGTGACCTATGTAAGCTCCCAAGCCATTTTCTCCTTATTTACAAAAGTAACACTAAGAAGGCTTAGGACCATTCTTTATATGAGAGGCTACTTTGAAATTACGACTTTTTTCCAGTCTGTTTCACATTAGCAGTGTGTACACTACTGTATAATAATCATTAGCTTTATGATCTTGTCAACCATGCTCCTCTGAAGAGACTTTGGTGAGATGAACGTGAGGTAAAAATTTCATTCGGCAAAAAGTGCAATATGTGTGGTACTTTATTTTTTATGTTCTTTTTTTAATCCAGGGGTATTAAATCTTTGCTTTCAGAAAAGTGCACTAGTTCTGCAATTTCCAGTTGAGCAAGTGTGTCTCTAGTATATACATGCAACTGACGTGCTGGTCCCTGTAAGGCAAACATAGCACATTAACACTGCAGAAAGAGGGCCAGTGTTCTGTTTTTAAATTTCTGGTGAGCTACACTGCCCATCCCCAGCCACGCCCTCATCCCCTCGGCCTGCAGTGTCTGATCTCTCTACCTGGAGAGACGGTCTTCTACACATCACCCTCCAATGTCCACGGAAGCAATTGGGCCCCACCAAGGTGGAACAGGAGATGGGACTAAAGGACTCTGATAATTCTAATAGGAACTCAATCGAACTGTACCTCCCAAGAAAGAGAAAGTCAGTGACCCAGTGTTCCTCAGAAATAAAGGTCCCCCCAGTGTTTATGTCCTGAATGAGTAAAGTGGATCTAGCAGGAGCCTGGGACTGGGACTCAGGTTGGACCTAGCCTCTCAGGTTTTCTTCCTGACCAGCCCCCAGAAGTAGGAGAACCAGGCCCTTAGGAGGAGGGAGGTCTACTTTGTGTGAGGAGCACCTCCCCCCACCACCCCTCTTCCCTGAAGGCCTCCACTGAGGGAACACCTCCCAGTATTGGCCTTACCCCTCAGTTCACAACTGGCTACCATTAGTGCCTAATGCAGGTCAGATCCTAAAGAATGTTAGCTGGTTGTTAGCCTTGAGAAGGGGGCATACTCTCAGCTATAGAGTGGTGAGGTGATCAGCCATAAACTAAGGTGAAAAGCAGCAGCTTCCAGTTGTATTTGGTTCAGGGTCCCAGGTGGATGGTAGTACAGCCTCTGGTGAGGGGCAGGCTGTTGGGAATGTAAGGTTGCAGGGGGCCTCCGATCTCTAGTCAAACTCCAGGTACTTAAATACTGGGTTCAGAGTTTTTCTGTTCCGATTACATTTAAAGCAGATATTGGCAGTTACACTTAAGCTCTTAGTTACACTAAAAGGAAATTTATGCTCTAGATAACTTCCACATTCATCCTCCATTAGAGACAGTTTAGTCCCAATGAATTGTTTAGAAGCCCCTGTGCCCGGCTCTGACCTTTGCTGCACTCTGTACCCCTAAACGGGCTGCCACTGCTGCTTCCTCAGTAGCCACCTGAGCCGCTCAGTCTCCTTCTGCATCGACAGCAAAGGTGAAAACTGGAGAACAAATATTAAGTTGCAGTAGCTGTACAGGAAGGAATCGTTGATCATTTTGTTGCTTCTGGAAATTTTAAAAGGATTTATCTTCAGAGTAAAGCATGGAAGATGAGAACAGTATCATCTGGCTCGGTTTCTAGACTGGATTTAAAAAACCTTTTTTTTTTTTTTTTTTTAAATTTATATAGCCCTTTTGACAGGTTGGGTAGCATAAAATGTGGCCCTCCCAGTCTACGCCTTGGGAGGTGACTGAATTTGTGACATTCTTTCTGTCTCACATAGTGTGCTGCCAAGCTTGGCGAGGGATGAATAAGTGACCTTCCTGGTCTTGTAGTTTCATAACCTGTCCCATACTTGTTCTGCCATATTTTCCCAGTTAAGGTAGTCTGGCTGATTTCAGAAGCCTCATGGCTGCCCTAGTTGCACCACCATCTTATGTCCACATTTTATCAGGACATGTTTCAACACACTTGGCAGATTTGGGCACTGCATTGAGAAACAGGCAGGGGAGTCAGCACTGCCCGTACTTACTTAACCAGTGATCGTTTTGACGGTTCCTGCCCAAGTATTCAGCTTGGCTGTCCTAAAGGAGTAGTAGTAGCTTCTCTTTGTATATGAATTTACCAAGGACTTTTACCCTCATCTCTTATCCTCACAACAACGCTTTGAAGTTCTTTGGGCAGAAACTCCTCATTTTTCACAGCTGAGGAAACCAGAGTTCTCAGAAGGTTACACAGGTTTGAGGTCACAGAACTCATGAGTGGAGGAGCCAGGAGAATCACGTGGGTTTTCTGGCCTCTCCTTGCTCTTTGCTCTCCCCCGTGGCAGTTCACTCATTTCAAAAGCAAACAGCTGTTAAACAAAGCCCCTGT